CACGTTTTTCTACCTGAAGAACTGCTCTCCTTTGCATATGCAAATACATTTGCACACATCTTTGCATGTATATACATGTGTAAAAAGCCAGAGGTTTGCTTTGCTCAGGTGTGAATGTGGGCTCAGGTTCACACACAGTGAATGATACTCACATTCACTGCCTGCTGTTCACATTCTCTGCTGGTTAACCACCCTATAAAAACGGAGTCACACTTATTTCACACATTGGATGAAAACTGGAACAGCTTTCAAAGACTACAGAGACCGCATCCTATGAAAATAAGGCCAAGCTGGAATGTTTGTTGTCATCATAAAAAAAAATAATTAGCAAAAAATTACGCTTATGTGTAACAAAAATGAAGCAAAGGGTAAACAGAACGGTTGTCCCATTTTATATATAACTTTTTCAATACATTGGCCCCATGCAACCTGGCCGGGCAAAGTGAAACTCTTATTTGTAGGGCTGCAGCTAACAAATATTTTCATAAGCGATTTGCTGCATTAAAAAAAAAAAAATCTCTCTCCCCAACCAAGTAATCGATAATGAGAATAGTTGACAACGATTCTCATAATCGATTAGTTGGATGCAGCCCTACTGATCCAGCTTTTGTTTATAATTTCCCATGTCTCTGTGTGTGTAAATTTGTATGAACATCAGGCACCAGCGAGATACCTCATGGTCTCCCTGCTGCACCATGTTATCCAACTGCTTAAAGAACTCTGGGCAAATGACACATTAACCCTTACAGTGGGGCTGCCCCTGCATTGCTCATTTTGGTCTAGGGTCAAAAAAAAAATGTTTACCTGATCTTTGGTCCCGCAGTGGTAACTGCTCACCTGTCTCGCCTTCCACTCCAGCTGTGGTATGTCTCTCGGTGTCCTCGTGTCCAAAGCAAGTCAATGCACTTGTATTAAGCACGATGAAGTCAGCAGGGCTTACACTGATTGAGCCCAAGGAGAAAAGGCTGCGGGGACCAGTCTGACAGCCAAGCGGGATTGAGGAGCGGGTGAGTATATCTTCTTTATTTTAGACCCTAGATCAAATCAAGAAATGTAACTCTTGCAGTGGGAGAAGCCCAACTGTAAGGGGTAATTTGGCCGGAGTTCTTCTTTTACACAACATGTGTTCAATACCTAGTTGAGAGTGGACACAATCACAATCAGCAGCATCTGTGTTCCCATTGATCACGGCCAATGGGGTCTCCTTAAAGAGAACATGTGACACCAAGATTAATAGGGTTATTCACAAAAGGGTGAAGAGTTTGGAGGAGACAGGAGAAGTGAACAATCTAGGACAATATAGCTGAACTGGAAACATTCCCCAATCCAGCTCACTTTCCAGTTCAAGATGTTGTCCTAGATTGTTCCCTTCTCCAAACTCTTCACCCTTCAGTGAACAACGTTGCGATTTCTTTTTCATAGCAACACGTGCATTATGCTATGAATGTGCTCGCATCCAACATATGTAAAAGGCAAAATGATAGGGATTATAACTCTTCCCTAATCCATCAGTTTTCTTTGCTGTCTGTCTCCCTGTACTTCTTGTCCGGAGATGCAACAAGAAGCGAGAGGAAATCTTGCTGAAGTGAACAGAATTCCCATCTTAGAGTTGTCATAGGTAGATGTATCCCAATTAGAGTTTTTTCCCTCACTTCTTGCTCTGATGACAACTCTGAAATTCCCCATCACTTTTTGTCTTGGTCACAAATGGTCAGAAAGACAAATAGAGGGCTGAATCTCCCTAAAGGCGACACAGACAACAATCAACACCTGACAGATGGCATAGCCCTTTCCACTTTATCCAAAACTTTAAAAAACCCAAAACTCTACATATAATGTGAGGTCACATTCAACTCTCAGGACCAAATATTATGTGCATATAAAAACAATGCAGATGATTCATGAATTATGCATGTTCATAGTCGCCTATACGGATTTCTGTATAAGTAATGCATTATCCTTGTCATTACCCGGATATGTGTGAATATATATCACTACGTTTGTACATATTGGTTCTATCCTTACACATCACCAATCTGAGCATAGGTAACGCAGATACATTTTTGGAATAAAGAAAGAGACCCAGCTTCAAGCTTGTTTTGCAATTCTTCAGGCTGGATACTGTTGTCTCCATAAAGCATCAGCAACCAGAGCAAAGCAACCGAACAATTGCTGGAGGCATCAATACACACAATAGTGCTGGGTGGTGTTAGGCATAAAATATGTAGTAAAGCTACATTAGCACGTCTGTGGTTTTAATGTGGTGCATTAAAGTAAATCCGCTTGACTAATGTAGCATCCAACTAAGCACGCCCTCCACAGGGATTTACAGTAATGCACATAAACTGCATGTACAGCACCAAGATGTGAACGTAGCCTACACGCTGCAGGAGGGTGTACAAGAGGCAGCAGGAAGTGAATGAGTAACTTGTTGTTCTTCATCTGGTCATGTGCACACTTCATCTAAAGCAGCATACAACATTGTGGTGTTTATGAATACAAGCACAGAATGTATGGCTGATCAGAAAAGCCCACCCCGTTTGTGTTTAGGGGGGCGCGCGTACACACATACACGGGTGAAACATGACCTGAACTCTCCATTCTCAGGGGTATACACGTGGTTGAACTCTGGACCGTCTTTCTCTACATGGGGAGCTGCACGGTTACAGCTAATGTTAGCTTTACTTCAGTCCAATGGCAGAAATCAAACTAGATAACATGCAGTGAAAGATTGGATACCCTGAAAAGATTGGGGTCCTTACTGCATCTTGCAATTTCATTTCTCATAATTCACAGCCGCTCAGCTGTAAGCCCTTGTTCACACCTGAACGTTTTGTAGCACGCTCGACGAACGCTCTACAAAACGCTCAAAAATATAAATCCCATTGTATTCAATGGTCCACCTTGGCGTATTTCCGCCCGTCCCTAACGCGCTACAAAACGGCCCACGCCTGAAAAGGTACAGGTACTACTTTGGGCCGTTTTGTTGCGCGTTTCCATTGGGATACAGCCAAGTAGCCTTCGGAAACGCGCGTTTGTCGTGCAACTTTTTTACCGCGAATCACGGTAAAAAAACGCACGGCAGACGCGCATATGCAATACGCCTAGGTGTGAACGAGACCTAATAGAGTGCTGAAAAGTAATGGTCACTTACAAGCACCATTATTGAGGCAAAGCTCCAATCCAGTCTTATTTTTGTTAGGGGAGTAAGGTGGGAAAAGGTTACATCAACTCAGGTTCATATTGTTCAGTGTCCCTGTTGGGGAGATTTTCTCTTACTTCCTATTTCACTGAAACCAAATATAAATGCCCACTCTCCGCTTCCACCACAATAAAAAGGTGTCTGAAGCAAAACACCACTTTAATGTTAGGGTCAGCAAACATGGGCTTAATGCAAAACTAAAAAACAAAAGGGAACAAAGCGCCACCTCCGTGTGTAAAATCCTTTATTAAAATGAAGATTTAATCTTGGCTGGCTGCGGCCGGTGGACGGTGATGTGACCGGAGGCAGCTGTGGTACATAGTCGGGGTGATACCATGTTGGGTTAACAGACAGTGTGGCCTCTTGTTTTTATTGTTAAAGGAGAACTATGAGATGAGTGATTTTCACTCACCTCATAGTTCTAGCCGATCTGTGACAATGAGACTGTCACAGGCCGGCTCAGTAGATCGGGAGGTGAGCGAACACATACCGGCGTTCGCTCACTTCTCAATCATGTCACGGCTCTCTGCCTCCAGCGCTGACTGGCGGAATGGACGGGGGAGGGTACAGCTGGCTCTGCCTCTAGATAGGCAGAGCCAGCTGTCACTCACGCAGCTAGGCGGATCCAGACCTAATTGTCGGGGTCGCTTCAGCGTCTCAGTATACCGGGAGCTGTAGCTCGCGGTATACTGAGCTTAGGGTAACGGGAGGACGCTAGTTTGTGTCCTCCCGTTACCCGGAGAACTATGGGGAAAAGCCCTAACCCCATAGTTCTACTTTAAAACGTGATGAAAACATTTGCTTGTGACTACATATATCCCTTGTTTTATACACACGGAGGTGGCGCTCTGTTCCCTTTTGTTTATGTTCGTGGTGGAAGCCCCAGAGCCTTGGATGAGCAGCCCCTCAAGTTTGTGTGAAAAAAGTGTGATCAACTGTTGAAAACTTTGATTATGCAACAGCAAGTGGATCGTTCAGCTGGCAGCCATTAGCGCCAAGAGGTAAAGAAAACTGCTAAATGCAAAACTACGTTTACCCCCTTTTCACTCACAGGGGGGAATTTACTAAAACTGGAGCAGATGTGCATAGTAACCAATCAGCTTCTATATTTAGCTTGTTCCGTCAAGCTTTAAAAATGAAAGCTAGAAGCTGATTGGTTGCCATGCACAGCTGCTCCATTCTTAATCAATCCCCCTCAAAGCCTACTTCCTGAACCCCCTTCTGACAACCACACAAAAAAGTGGAGCTTGCTTTCCTAATTTGCAGTTTATTTCCCAGCCAGTCCAGTGACATCACGGGCCCCTAGCCTTCTTTGTTGGTGTCAGCAGTGACCAGTCCTTACTGACGTGTGAGCGCCCATTTGTGCATCAGTACTGTGCACAGAGTCTGTCCCCTCCCCGGTACACCTCATGGCTGTCCCCTCCCCGGTACACCTCATGGCTGTCCCCTCCCCGGTACAACTTCAGCCTCATGGCTGTCCCCTCCCCGGTACAACTCCAGCCTCATGGCTGTCCCTCCACTTCCTTCCCATGCAGTGTAAACGTGCTGTGATCCCCGGCCAGGCTCCTCGTGACTTCCTATAACCGGCCATGATCTATAGACTTCCCGCTACCTCAGCCTGTTCTCCCGCCATCCAGCATGACAGACTCACGTCCTCTGCTCTGCCTGTAGTTGCCATGGCGCCAGATCACATCCCGAACACTGTCTACAGATCTCCGGCAGCCCGGACGTGTCACCTTCTCCTTTAGGAGACTGACAGCTCTCAGCGGGTGCCAGAGCCAGGCCGGCCTGTACTCACCACCACACAGGGACTCGCCATGTCTGCTGAGCCGGGCGGGGGGAGGAAATGCTGCAAAAATCCGCGTCCTCTGCCGGGCGCTCTCTGTACTAAACAAGGCCGGAGCTCACACACACACATGGCCTGCGTGAGTCCCGCCTGCAAAGGAGGAGCCGAGCCCAGCCACCTCTATGGGAAAGTCCATCAGCCCACTGTGTGACGGCACACACACACCCCTATCTCCTAGACTCCTACAAGAGGACATCCCGTACACACCCGATCTGTGTCTCCTACAAGAGTACATCCCATACACACCCCGATCTGTGTCTTCTACAAGAGTACATCCCATACACACCCCGATCTGTGTCTCCTACAAGAGTACATCCCATACACACCCCGATCTGTGTCTCCTACAAGAGTACATCCCATACACACCCCGATCTGTGTCTCCTACAAGAGTACATCCCATACACACCCCGATCTGTGTCTTCTGCGTCTGAGTTCTTGACAGAGCACCAGTATCTGCTTAGCATCGGGGCAGTTTCACGAGTACTCATGAAAATGCCCAGTATTGGCACTGGTACATCTTTACTTAAAAGTATAATGCATTTCTGGGACTTGTAGTCCTGCATAGTTGGTGCTATTCCGCATTGTTGTAGAATCATCATACAGCAATGCAGAATACCACCCGCTATGCAGGACTACAAGTCCCAGCAATACATTATAATAACAATCAGCAATGTGGAATATCACCAGCTTGCCCGTGCCCTCGCAAGCTGGTGATATTCCACATTGCTGATTGTTATTATAATGTATTGCTGGGACTTGTAGTCCTACTTCCGCGTCTCGGCGGGACTAAGTGGAGAGGGTCCTCTCCTACACAGCAGAATGTGCCGCCTGGCGGTGCCTCCAGCACATTCTGCTGGACAAGTGACAGCCTCTCCAGCCCCGCACAGCCACACGTACATGCGGCGGGGTATGAGCGGCACTATCTCGGGGGTCCCTGTTCTTCCTTTCTGACCGCTACGTGCCTGGCAGTTCCGCCAGTGGCTCAGGCTGCTCTACCTGCCGGCTTGCTGTGGTTATATTCTCTCACTTTGGATAGAATAGAAAAGTTGTAAAACCTGTTGGGTTATATTTTGTCCCTCTGTGGAGATTTCCCTTCACGTCCTGTGCCAGAGACACAATAGGAAATCTCACCACAGTGAGGGAAAATTACCCTCTTATTTGTCTCCAGAACGTTTGTGCCCATTGGAAGATTTGCCCTCACCTCCTCACCAGGGTGACTAGAGGGATGAATCTCCTCAGTGGGGACACTGATGGCAATGAAAACTTGATACAAGATTGAACTATACCTTACACCAATCTCCATAACCTGAGGGGAAGTTGTTTTGTAGTTCAATAGGGAGGGCTGAGAACACTAGTTGAGATTTCGGTGTAGCAGAGTCAGTGTTGTCAGCTCATTACAGGATTCATTTCCCTGGAATTGGACTTTAAATGTTGGTAGTCAGTGGTGTGTGCCCCCTTCAATGTAGACCTCTGCTGAGTTTACTGTAACATTGGTGGTGCAACGCAGCACAGGTACTGAACAGGCTCGAGTGCAAGCAATGAAGGGAATTTATCAGAACTGGAGCAGACAAAATCGGGAGCAGTTGCCCATAGCAACCAATCAGCGTCTCTGTTTAATTTTCAAAGCGTAACTGAACAAACTGAAGAGAGAAGCTGATTGGTTGCCCTCAGCAACTGCTCCAGATTCTGGTTGCAGTGAATTCCCCCAATGTATTTTTCCTGCAGGTGCACTCTCATGTGATATGACATGGGCAGATTGGGGTGAAAGGGCCCTTGTTTGGCCGTGGCCCTATTATTACACCAGGGTGCACTGGACCTTAGATAAACATCAGCTGGTTGCCTAAGCCTACATTAAACATGACAAAGTCTGACATATAACAGATACTCATGTAAGTAGTAAACGGATACAAAACAGAACGTGAACTTTGAATCCAGTCAATGATTAATATCCAGGCTAACACGTCTGTTTTCATTACATGCTATCTTTTGCTGCATACAGATTTTAAACTGAATCCTATATGGGCCATAGATACAGAAAAACACTAAGGGCCTGTTCACACCGCTGCAGTGGACTAATCGCACGTATCATGGGATAAACACATGATATTGTGCACTGCTATTGTGCACCTATCGTGTTACAAAGCATCAGGTGCGTTGTGTTCCCATTCATTTGAATGGCACCCGACGCACCTCCCAGCTGCATTGCAGTGGTATGCAGCATAACGTATAGTACCACAATATAGCACCATCATGGGGATGGGCAGGTGCGTGTGTGTGTGTGTTGCTTACCTGTGGAAGAGATGGCATCAGGATGCCCTTTGGGAAGAAGGCAAGCTGGCGGAGGCAGTGTGATGGTTTGGGCAATGTTCTGCTGGGAAACCTTGAGTCCTACCATTTATGAGGATGGTACTTTGACATCACCTACCTAAACATTGTTGCTGACCAAGTACACCCCTTCATGGAAACTGTATTCCCTGATGGCAGTGGCCTCCTTTAGCAGGATAATACACCCTGCCACACAGCAAAAATGGTTCAAGAATGGTTTGATGAAGACAATAATGAGTCTGAGGTGTTGACTTGGCCTCCAAATTTTCCAGATTTCAATCCGAGCATCTGTGGGATGTGTTTGAGAAACAAGTCGGATCCACGGAGGCCCCACCTCACAAGTCACAGAATCTGCTACTGGCTGCTATGTGCCAGATACAACATACCATCAGAGGTCTAGTGGAGTCCATGCCTCGGTGGGTCAGGGCTGTTTTGGCGGCAAAAGGGGGACCTACTCAATATTAGGAAGGTGGTCATAACGTTATGGCTGACAGGGGGGGGGGGGGGGGGGCGCCGCCCCCCCCACACACACACACACACACACACACACACAGTGCAGTGCTATTCATTTTAATGCACTAAAGTAATGCACCTGCATTGTATTGCTCCACAATGTATTATAATGCATTCTAGCACATTGTGGGTGCAGCATTGGCAAAAATGGTGCAGGGGCATTTTTAGGTTGATTGTGTTGCAGCCCCGTCCAATAAACGGGTTTCCTTAATGCAATGCACATTAGGGCACTGCATGCGGCTGCACAAGTATGAATGGGGCCTAAGTGTATTGTTACACAGAACCAGCACAGAATATTGGAATCTGTCTTGATTTCCAGCTCCTGTTATCCCCTGCACAGCAAAGCACAGACTATAGGGAATCAGATTGCTCTGTGCAGTGCGGTCAGTTAACAACCTAAACATGATTACAGGATGACCAAACTGCATTGCTTCACAGTAGCAGGGGAAAAAATTAAGTTTTCAACCTGGCTATTCTGTTTAGCAGGGATACCTGGATCACAAGACTGGCTGCACACGATCACAAATCCTTTGGCAGCTAAAACAATTGACATATAAGTGTTTGAAGTGTATATTTAGCCGTTCGCCGTTTACTAAACTGCTATTATATTTACCATGTATTAACTCTGTATACTTTTTTTTGCAGCAAACATCTAATGAAATGCATTAGCAAATGGATATTATTTGCTGAGAGAATAAAAAAAAACTGCATACGTAGCGCTTACTTTCAGTTAAAATCAGGTGCCAGAATGATCAGCAGATCCCAAGTGATAGGAGGCTGATCTCGTATGCAAATATGACATGAAAAAAGATTGGAAGGTGGGCAGACCATGCTCAATGCTTTACCACTGCCTGTACTTTTGGATCTACTGCTCTTTTGAATGTTCTTTGTTTTAGGTCTCATGCAATGTTACACCACATTATGGCCAGTAGATGGAGCTGAGGAGCACAGGAAAGAAATACTTATTTCTTATGCTCCTCACCTCCATCTAGTGGCTATAATGCAGTATTACATCACATTCGCCCTGAAGCCGTTCAATTTGATTTATAAACTGCCACTTCACTGGCTACAAATATGGCTAAATACATCAAAACTGGAGCAGACAGAATCTGGAGCAGTTGCCCATAGCTACCAATCAGATTCTATCTTTAACTTTCAAAGCTGAACAAACTGAAAAGTGAAGCTCATTGGTTGCCCTGGGCAACAGCTCCAGATTCTGTCTGCTCCAGTTTTGCTAAATTCCCACCAAAGAGTATTTCTTGTGTAACTGAAACACCAGAATGTCTGCCGGCCGTGTCTGCACATGATACATTTTGCACTCGAAAGGGTTAAATTAAATCTAAGAATATCTGTGTCCATTAATATCCATCATCAGCTGGGTAATGTGCACTTGGGTTAAATATAATGTAATGTAATCCTGCTGCTTTGGTAAATAATAGACTGCATGGCTTGTCTATTGGTCATAGTCCATCTGAGAAGTAATATGCTGTAAATCAATGTTGAATGCAGTGTGTGTCTCCATCTGAATGAAAAGCAGTCCCATCGGCCATATGAATGTGTAGATATAAGAAGGAGCCTGCATTGGTCATGTGTGCTCATAGGGATTCCTATTTATGTTGTACAAAGTGATCCTGTCATAGCCCAATGAAATACAGTTCAGACTGCAGGCAAGAAAATGGCTTAATTGTGTACAATATTATGGGGGAGGGGCAAGTATATGTTGCAATGCAGTGTAACTCATAAGAAAAGAAAGATCTCACCCAATGTCTGGAGAACGTTATTCCTGCTGCAAACTCTGTGCGGAATTTAAAGACGTGCAGCATGTATCATATGACTTCAGTATCCAGACATAGATATAACACACCCAGGCACGGGGCGTATAAATGCAGCAGAGTTCATGGCCAACCACACTGAGGGGAATTTATCTCAACTGGAGCAGAAAGAATCTGGAGCAGTTGCCCATGGCAGCCAATCAGATTCTCTGTTCAGTTAAGTTTTGGAAATGAAAAATAAGCCGATTGGTTGTCATGCACAGCTGCTCCAGATTTTGTCTGCTCCAGTTTTGATAAATCCCCCTCACAGTGTCCAACAGGTGCACCATATCGGCCTGGGCAAGGCATGTCACCCAACCCTGACATGTTTCACCTGAATGCTTTCTCAGTCGGCATGACTAAAATAGTGCATGCGCTGTATCTGGTTACAATCAGAAAAACGCAAAGTGGAGTGCAATTTAAACATACCTGTAGCAGGGTACAAACCACTTCATACCTGTAGCAGGGTACAAACCACTTCATACCTGTAG